GTTTCAGCAAGCAAGGTTGCATTATCTACATAATGCAGATTGTTGATGGATCTTCCACCAGTCCTGATGTCACTTAGCATAATGCTGTCCAGTTCCTCACAAGATTGGTAGTAATTTACAAAATCATTTCTCCTGCATGTTGTGTAGTATTCTACCGTGTGAACGTACCATAATTTCTCAATCCATTTCTTCATGATTGGACATTTGGGCTGTTTCCATGTTCTTGCGATGGTGAGTAACACTGCTGTGAACATTGGTGTACAAGTCTCCGTTTGTGCCTCAGTTCTCATTCGTTCGGGGTATATCCCAAGCAGTGGAAGAGCTAGGTCGTATGGAATTTCTGTGTTCAGCTTTTTGAGGAAACACCAAACTGCCTTCCAGAGTGGTTGTACCTTTTTATAATCCCACCAACAATGTATAAGAGATCTTATTTCACCACATCCTCTCCAACATTTATTACTTTTTAATTACTGTTAAACTTTGCCACTGCTACTGGAGTGAAGTGGTATCGCACTATGATTTTTATTTGTATCTCTCTTATTGCCAGTGATTTTGAGCATTTCTAAATGTGTCTGTTGGCCATCTGAATGTCTTCCTCTGAAAAGTCTTTCCATGTCTTTTGCCCATTTTGTAATTGGGTTATCACTCTTTTTCTTGTAGAGGTCATGTAGGATTCTAAAAACTTTTGATATGAGACCCTTGTCTGAAATGGTGTTGCCATATGTTTTTTCCCAGTCAGTAGGTTTTCTTTTCACTCTGTTGGAAAAAGTTTTTTATGCACATAGGGATTTTGTCTTTTGAAGGTCCCATTCATTAATTTTATCATCTCCAGATTGTTCATTTCTGGCTGTATTTGGCAGTCTCTTTATACTGTACACTAGGCCTTCTAAGCTTGATCCCAGTTTGCCCCTGATGAACTTTATGGTTTGGGGCTTTAGTCCCAGGTGTTTGATCCACATGGAGTTGATTTTTGTGCATGGTGTAAGATGTGGATCCTGTTTCAGCTTTCTATAGGTAGCAGTCCAGTTTTGCCAGCACCATTTGTTGAAGAAGTTGTCATTTCCCCATTTTATAGGTTTTATTTCCTTGTCGAATATCAGTTGACCATAGATAGTTGGGTCTATTTCTGGGTTCTCAATTCTGTTCCATTGGTCTATGTGCCTGTCACTGTACCAGTCCCATGCTATTTTGGTTACTACCGCTGTGTAGTACGTTTTGAGGTCAGGGAGTGCTATGCCTCCCACTCATTTTTGTTCTTTAGAAGTACTTTGTTTAGTTGAGGTCTTTTTCCTCTCCAAATGACAATTTCCTTTTCAATCTCCTTGAAAAATGAATTTGGTATCTGTATTGGGATTGCTGGATGTGCTCACCAAGTTGTGCCAAGAAATCTGGAGAACAACCACTTGGCCAACTGACTGGAAGAGATCTATATTTGTTCCCATTCCAAAGAAATGTGACCCAACTGAGTATGGAAACTACAGAACAGTGTCATTGATTTCACATGCAAGCAAGATTCTACTGAAGGTTATTCAAAAACGATTAGAACAGCACATCAGCAGAGAACTGCTGGAAGTCCAGGCTGGGTTTAGAAGGGGTCGTGGTACTAGGGATATTGTTGCTGATGTTAGATGGATCTTGGCTGAAAGCAGAGAATACCAGAAGAATGTCTATCTGTGTTTCATTGATTATGCAAAGGCATTTGACTGTGTGGATCATAACAAACTATGGCTGACTCTGAGAAGAATGGGAATCCCAGAACATTTAATTGTGCTAACGCGAAACCTGTACTTGGACCAAGAGGCAGTAGTCAGAACAGAGCAGGGTAACACTGCATGGTTCAAAATTGGGAAGGGTGTACGCCAGGGATGCATCCTGTCTCCATACCTTTTCAACATGTATGCAGAGCAGATTATCCGAGAAGCTGGGCTCTATGAGGAGAATTGTGGCATCAGGATTGGTGGAAGATCTATTAACAATCTGTGTTATGCAGATGACACAACCCTGCTTGCTAAAACTGAGGAGGACCTCATGCACTTGCTGCGAAGGGTCAGGGACTGCAGCCTTCAGTATGGACTGAGGCTCAATGTCAAGAAGACAAAGATTCTCACCACTGGACCAATTGGCAGCGTCAGGACGGATGGCGAAGAGATTGAGATTGTTCATAGCTTCAGTTTGCTCGGCTCCACAGTCAACACTCTTGGCACCAGCAGTCAGGAAATCAAAAAGCGTATCGCGATGGGAAAGTCTGCTGTTAGGGACCTCTCTAAAGTACTCAGGAGCAGCAGTGTCTCTCTGGAGACTAAGGGGCGCCTGATACAGGCCATGGTATTTGCAATCGCTTGTTATGCATCAGAGAGTTGGACAATGACTAGGGAGGACAGAAGGAGAGTGGATGCTTTTGAGCTGTGGTGCTGGAGAAGAGTACTGAATGTACCATGGACTGCCAGGGAAACAAACAGATTCATCTTGGAGAGGATTAAACCAAGCTGCTTCTTGGAGGCAAGGATTCTGGGGCTTCGTCTGACATACTTTGGACATGTTGCCAGGAGGGACGGGTCCTTGGAGAGGGACATCATGCTTGGGAGGGTGGAGGGAGGCGCAGGAGGGGAAGACCCTCTAAGAGATGGATTGATTTGGTGACTGGGGTAATCGGGATGGGTGTGTCAGAGGCAGTGCGGTTGGCGCAGGATAGAGCAGGGTTTAGGGCTGTTGTTCATAGGGTCGCTATGAGTCGAAAACGACTCGATGGCACATAACAACAACAACAACATTGGGATTGCACTGAACATGTAGATTGATTTTGGTAGGATTGTCATTTTCACAATATTGAGTCTTCCTATCCATGAACAGGGAACATTTTCCCCTTCTCAAAGGAGTGTTCTCTAGTTTTCTTTGTATAGGTCTTTTGTGTCTCTAATTAGGTTCACGCCCAAGCATCTCAATTTGTGGTTGGCTATTATAAATGGTATTGTTTTCTTGGTTTCCTTCTCTGAGTTCTCTTTGTTACTGTAGAGGAATCCCATTGATTTTTGGATATTGATCTTATATCCTGCCACTCTACTATACTAGCTCTAACTTTTTTTTTCGCTGAGTCCCTGAGGTTTTCTGTGTATACTATGATATCATCTGTATATAGTGATAGTTTAACTCTCTCTTCGCCAATCTGGATGTCTTTTATTTCCTTCTCTTGTCATATTGCCCTGGCAAACACTTTCAATACAATATTGGATAGAAGTAGTGATAGAGGGCATCCTTGTTTGTTCCTTATTCACAAAGAAAATGCTTTTGGTCTTTCTCCATTGATAATTATATTGGCTCTTTGTTTTGCATATATACTTTTTACTATATTGGGGAAATTCCCTTCTATTCCAATTTGGCTGAGTGTCTTTTTCAGGAAGAGATCTTGGATTTTGTCAAATGGCTTTTGTGCCATTGAGTCTGGACTCATCACAACCTTCCATTGGCTTTCTGAAGCTCTGACTCTTCCCAGGAGGAAAATTTCCATCTTTCCTGTGGATCAGCTGGTAGATTCAAACCACTGACCTTTTAGTTAGCAACCCAATACATTAGACACTACACCATCAGAGCTCCTTACATTTCTGACTCATACTCAGAAGCTCAAAGTCTTTGCTGTTGGGTTAGGACCATAGATAGCTGGGTCGCTCTCCATTGTATTTCCAAGGCTGCAAATCACATGGGAGAAGATTGTCCCTTTTCCTCCCTCAAAGCCATTGCTGGTGGATTTGAATTGCCAGATACCACCTTTGTACAACTCCCATAGACTATGCCACCAGAGTTCCCCACACCCGAAAGAAAATGTGTTATACTAATTCAACTAGACCAGCATCTGACTTGAGGAGCCCTGGTAGCATAATAATTAAGTACTTGACTGCTAGCCAGAAGATCAGCAGTTCAAATCCACCAGGGGCTTCTCTGGAGGAAGAGGAGTCAGTCTGCTTCTATGACAACCTTGGAAACCCATTTCTCACTTGTTGTGTACTGTCGAGTTGGATCTGACTCATAAATGACCCTCCAGTGAGTTTCTGGAGAAAGTAAATTGCACAGGAGGAGACTTCCCATCTTTCTATCATGGAGCAGCTGGTGGATTCAAACTACCTGCCTTTGGATTGGCAGCACAGCTCCTTACCTACTAACAAGGAGTCAGTATTGACTTGAGTGGATTTGGTTTAGTTCTGGTTTCTTGTTTGACTTTTAGGAAATCTGTTTCCTCAAGGTTCAGTTATCTCGGGGTGATGGCTTGAGCCACCACCTCAACCTCTGGGTTCGGATTCTATGAAAATGCTGAACTTCCTTCCTCACCTTTAGTAGTAACCCCCTCTTCTCCCCCCTCCCAGTACCCTTGATCTGCTCGCTCTCTGTCTCTGTTTTAGTCTATCCTTATCATATCTCTTGGAGGTGGAATCAGACAGTACTTCTCCTTTAATGAGTTAACCCAATGTCTTCTTAAATTTAATCAGGCACTAACAGTGGTCGCCATGTCCCTGTGGCTGGGGTTCTGTGTGACCACTAGTAGACCCAGGGCCTCATCACCCTCCCTGAGCAGGCCTCACTCAAGAGAAGACTCTGAGAGCCACCTGGGCTGCGTGTCCGCTGGGCCAGCAAACTCCAACATAGATCCATCTCCGTGTGAGGGAAGAGCTGACCCGATGGGAGAGAGAGATGCCCATCCTCAGGGTGAGAGGGTCTAAACTCCCACTCACTTTTAATCAGACAAATATCTATAAGACCTGAGCGCTGAACACATTGCCTGGTGGTGTGAAAATATACCCATAGCCGAGCTTTGCCTGCCCAGAGGCAACAAGGCGTGCGTGCGTGTCTCTGTGTGTGTGTGTGTGTGTGTGTGTGTGTGTGTGTGTTTGTGTGTGTGTGTGTGTGAGAGAGAGAGAGAGAGAGATGGGAAGTGGAGGGAAGGATATGACTTGCCCCCCACCCTGGGTACCCTCAGTCCTGCCCACTGACTCAGTTTCCCTTCCCTCCAGGGGTCGGTGATGGCGGTAACGAGCTCGGAATGGGCAAAGTCAAGCAGGCCGTGAGGACTCACATACGAAATGGGGCTGTCATCGCCTGTGACGTGGAGGCCGACTTTGCTGTCATCGCAGGTGCGTCCGTCCATAGGTATCCGTCAGGTCTGACCATCTGGGGATGGTCCGGCCCAGAACCAGGCCTGAGGGGAATCTCATTCTCCCCTGTAGGACATTGGGCTAGGAAACTCTCACTAAGTCATTCAACAAACGCTTATTAAGTGACATGGGTGTGAGGCTGTGTTCAACGTCTTCAAGTTCCAACAGGGGACAATACGGTTCCTGCAGCACAGAGCTCAAGTTTGTATGTTGGGAGACTGCTAGTGAACCCCTAAAAAAGAGATCACCAGACTGTGCTGAATATGCGAAGCATTCTGAGGGTGCTAGAGTGGGAGGACATGAGGGGGGAGCTGACCTGGCCTCTCCAGACTGGTGCTCACCGGCTCCCTCTCTCCTCAGCAATGCCTCCAGTAGATAGAGGAAAGAACAGCCTTAGCTGTGTTTGGAGGAGCCCAGAGTCTGCTCAGCTCCCCTCCTCTTACCTGTGTTCCCCTCTCCCTGTGTCCTGTCCACCTCCTGATTAAAATAGCCTGGAGCTCCTGACTCCACCCTGACTTAGGTGGACCAGCCCCCTTTCTGAGGTGGTTAACCACGCCCACTGTTTCCTGGACCTCTATTATCTCCCATCAGTTTCCAAGGCTGTAGCTTCTCGCTGGAGGAGAAGGCTCGCTTTTCTCCCTTGAAACAACTGGTAGATTGGAACTGCCTTTTTAGTTAGCAGTCTGATGTGCTGTGCCCTGTGCCACCAGGGCTCCTGCTTTAACAGTATTTGTTTGGCCTGGAGTTGGAACCGATTCGTAGCTGTAAACAGCACAGGAGGAGATTGCCCGTCTTTGTTCCGCGGAGCAGAGGGTGCACTCGAACTGTGTGCCTTTGGGTTGGCAGTGCAACTTCTTATCGCTAGGCCACTGGAGCTCCCTTTGACACAGTGGAGTCCCCCAAAGACAGTGTGGCTCCTGCAAAGGGGAGAGCTGTTGTCTGGTATTGGAGCACCAGTGAAGACCTGCATATTTGGATCTCCTTCAAGAGAGATTTTGAGCTACTCTGTCCTAAAGACAGAGGGCTTTGTGTTGGTAAAACAACAATCAAACAATGAAACATGAATGTGGACTGTCTTCTGAGCAGTTTTCCTGCATGCCTGTCACCCCACTGTCATTGAGTCGATGGAGTCATGGTGACCCTGCCTTGGGTTTCTGAGGCTAGAAATCTTTACTGGAGAAGATTATCTCATCTCATCCTACAGAGCAGCTGGTGGATTCACACTACAGACCTTTCAGTTAGCAGCCCGTTACATAATGCATTATAACACCAAACTTCTGTATTACATAATGCATTATAACACCAAACTTCTGTATATGCATGTAAATCAGAGACACCAAACCTACTGCTGGACTTGATTTGGACTCGGAACCTTTTCTTCAGTTTCTAGGCTGTGCATTTCTTTGAGAAGACTGCCTCGTTTTTGGTTCAGCTAAAGGATTCAAACCGCTGACCTTTCCATCAGCAAACCAACACATAACACATATCACCATGAAGACTTTTGCATGTATTGTTGTTTACCATCAAGCCAGAACTGACCCATAGCTGACCCTCCAGTGAACTTTCAGAGGCAGTAAATCACACAGGAGGGGATTGCCCGTCCTTCTTCTGCAGGGCAGTGGTGGACAGGAACCACATGCCTTTGGGATTGCAGTGCAGTTTCTTACCACTAGGCCACCAGAGCTCCTAAGTGCAGGTAGTCCATTTTGATTCCAGGAAGAAAAGGGGGGAAAAGCATATGGCTCCAAAAAGAAGACAAAAAAAGTCACATGGCTCCAAAAATCCTCAGTACACTGAGCCTATAAAGACAAATCACCATTATCTCATTGTCATCAACTCTTGATAAACCCACAGAAGACCCAGCAGAGGAATTCCAATCTCACGGGAGAAGATTGCCCCTTTTTCTCCTACTGAGCAGCTGATAGATTTGAACCACATGTCTTACTGTTGGCAGCACAATTTCTTACCACTGAGCCACAAGCTATACCTAGCCTGGGAAGCTGTTGTCCCAACAGAGCAAGGAAGCACTGCATGGTTCAAAATCAAGAAAGGAGTGTATGAGGGATGTATCCTTTCTCAATACCTTTTCAGTCTATATGCCGAATAGATAGCTCATTTGAGAAGCTGGACTTTATGAAGAAGAATGTGGCATCAGGATTGGAGGAAGACTCATCAACAACCTGCGTTATGCAGCTGGCAAAACCTTGCTCACTGAGGAAGACTTGCAGTGTTTGCTGCAGAAGATCAAGGATTGCAGTCTTCAATATAGTTTGCATCTCAACATCAAGAAGACAAAGATCCAAACTGCCAGGCCAATAGACAGCATCGTGACAGATGGAGAAAAGATTGCAGTTGCTAATGATTTAATCTTGCTTGGATCTACAGTTAATGCCCTTGGCACCAGCAGTCAAGAAATCAGAAGATGAATTGCATTGAGAAAATCTGCTGTTTGAGAGCTCTCCAGAGTGCTAATGGGCTATGATGTCAGTCTAGAGAGTAAGGTCCACTTGATCCAGGCTATGGTCTTCTCAATGGCTTGCTAGGCATTTAGCTGGACAATGGCTAAGGATGACAGAAGAAGAATTTATACCTTTGAATGGTGTTGGAGAAGAGTATTAAACACACTATGGATTGCCAAAAGAACAAACAGGTCTGTCCTGGAGAGGGTGAAAACAGGTAGTTCCTTAGAGGCAAGGATTTTGAAGGTCCATCTTACATGTTTTAGGAATGTTGCCAGAAGAGGCCATTTCTTGGAGAAGAACATTATTCTTGGAAGGGTAGAGAGTCCCTGCAGAAGAGGAAGACCCTAGATGAGATGAATTGGCACAGTAACTATGTCAATGAGGTTAGGTGAGTCAGACAGTGAGGTTGGCTCAGGATAGAGCAAGGTTCAGAGCCGCTGTTCGTACGATTGCTGCCAGTGATAATCCCCTGGAAAGCACATAACAACAACAGCAAGCTACAAGAAGAGGGAGAAGTGAAGATCAACCATTGACTAATCTTAACCTGATTGATTGAACCCTACTCTTCCCTGTTTACTGAGATCAAAGGATATCAGGTCACAAGATGCTCTGTGCTTCTCCACTTTACCATGTCATTGTCTTTGGAAATTTAGGGTTAATGAACACTTGGGTGCTAACTGAAAGGTGGGAAATTCAAACCCATCAGTGGCTCCACAGGAGAAAAAAACCAGGTGATCTGCTTCCTTAAAGACTCTAGTCTAGGAAAATCTATGGGACAGTTCTACTCTCCCCTGTATGGTGACTGCACATTGGAATTGACTCAACCATGTATGTTGTTGTTGTTGTTGTTGTGTACATCAAGTCAGAACTGACCCTCCAGTGAGTTTTCAGAGGCAGTTAATTGTACAGGAGGAGACTGCCCATATAGCAACAAAATAAATTTCCGTGTTAGTTAGTCTTCAGGATATATTTTTGTTCTGAGGTTTAAAGACTATCTCCAGGTAATAGTTTTAGGGATTCATCCTGTCTCCATGGCTTTAGAAACTCTGGATTCCCATTGGAATTTAAAATTCTGTTCTACATCTCCCCCCTTTGGATCAAGATGCTGCTATAGAATTTTTTATTAAAACCTTCCATTAAAGGTAGTTGGGTACCATCCAGTTATTCTGATCTGATAGCAAAGGAGGTTGTTGTTCTTGGAGGTAATCTGCCTTCCATCTCCTCCTCTTACTCCTGAGTGTCTTTCTTCTCTATTGTTCCAGCGCCTCCCAATTCTGTAATCAATCCTTCTTGAACTGCATGGAGAACTCAAGCAGAACTCAGAGAAGAGCCAATGATATGATTTCCAAACCGGGAACCGGGCATGTTGGGGCTAGCTGATAGCAAAGGGGTGATGTAGGAAAAATGTTGTCAGACACATGATACTAACTGTGATAGAGCTGCCTTCCACCCTGGAGAGGTCGAGGCAAGACGACACCGCCTTCCCCGGAGCTACAAGGGGGAGTTTCCGACTGCTGACAATCCTAATAGGAGTCTTCTTCTCCGGTGGTCTTGAACAGAACATGCCCCAAGTGGTTTAGAGCTGGGGTGGGTTCACTCCAACTTTAGCTGGCATCAGGATCTCCTGGAGGATTTATAAAAACAGACTCCTTCCCCCTCCCTCACCCACCCAGGGTTTTTTGACCCAAAGCTTGAGCTGTGGCTCCTAGAATTCATGTTCTAGCAAGATCCCAGGTAATACTGTGCCACTGGTCTGCAGACCATTCTTGGAGAGCTGTTGTGTTGTGTCGTGTTGTGTCGTGTTGTGTTGTATAGTGTTGTGTTGGAGCCCTGCTGCCCAGAGGCAGGAGGATGTCCACATGAACCCCTTTACAGAACTGTGATGGGAACGTCTGTCTGTCGTAGGAGTTTCTAACTGGGGAGGCTACGCCTTGGCTTGTGCACTGTACATCCTGAACTCCTGTGCGGTCCACACACGCTACCTGAGGAAGGCAGTCGGAGTGTCCAGAGCACCTGGGGAACAGATCTGGACTCAGGCCCTCCCATCCGTCACCAAGGTAACACACCCTGGCAGGTCCATAGTAGCAGCTTCTTCCCTGGACAAGGAGTAAGTGGTCCAAGCCCTAAGTTAAGAGTCAGCAGTGGGAAGTAACTTTTACCTTACAATATGGAGGTGATAGCCCCTACTTTAATCTAAATCCCAGATCAGATGGGACATCCATCTCTGATTAGATGGCCAGAGGGAATGGGGACTGGGTCAAGCGTGGTCCGTGATGTAGGGAGAAGGCCTATCTTTGTTACCCCAGTGCTGCTGTAACAGAGCTACCACAAGTAGATAGTTTTAACAAACAGAAGTTTGTTCTTTTAAGGAGTCCAAATCCAGGCTGCTGGCTGTAGGGGAAAGGCCCTCCCTCTGTGTCGATGCTGAGAAGAGCTTGTTCAGCCATGTAAGCCTGGCATTCCATAGAGGTCCTGTGAGTCCTGGCCTTCCGCAGGCGAGCAGCTTCCTGGTGCAGGGTCCCAGGCCCAAAGGGACGCAGGCCACTCCTGGCGGTCATTTCGTGGTGGTACTGGGTTCTACCACCACTGCCGCCCATGACTCACTTTCCTTCCTTTTCAACTCTTGTGAGATCACAGGCCACACCTAGGGCAATTCCCCTTACTTTGGGTTGTGCTGCCTTGACCCTTAATTTTCTCAGAGCTGTTTGGTGTATCAGGTCATGAAGATCACCACTTAGCTTCCACATGTTATCAGCACAGACATGTATTTTTGGGCGGCACCGTTTAACCCATGACAAAGCCTCAGGCTGGATGTATGACTTCCTGCGCGAGCCCTGCTTCTAACCTGGATTCTGGCTGTCTGCATTGTTCTGTACCTGTTACCTGTTTTATCCAACCTATGAACCACTTTTCCTATCTCGTCTCTCCAAAACCTTAAGAAACAAACAAGTCCTTTGCTGCCAACTTGGCTCTAATTCATAGTCACTCTGTAGCCCAGAGCACTTTCCCTCTGCAGGACTTCCAAAGCAGTAAACTTTACAGAATCACCCACAGAGCAGCTGGCGGCTTTGAACCTCCAACCTTCTAGACAGCAATTGAGCCCTAAGCACCACACCCTCAGGGCTCTTCTGCAGGCCACTGGTGGCCAAAGAATCTGTCTTTCAAACACTCCTGCTGGTCCATGGACCGCACTCCAAGAGCCACTGTATTGTAAGGTTGATTTGGCATTGCGGTGGCCAATGATTGGCTTGAGGAAGTGGGGAGACCAGCAAAACTGGGCCCTGAGAGCAGCACCTGAGATCATGTGGGCTGTTAGAGCTTTCCCCGAGCAAGCCAATTCTAGAAGCTTCTAGACCCATATCTTCTTTTCAGTGTCTTTTTTACGTTGGCATGTATCCCTTCTCTCTCTCACCTTGTTGTTATTAGATGCCGTTGAGTCAAGTACGATGCAAATCCTGTGAACAACAGATCTGAACCCTGTCCTTTCCTGCGCCCTCCTCACAATCTCTGAAACACTCAAGCCCATTGTCCCAGTCACAGTGTCAACCCCCCTGGTTGAGGGTCTGCCTCACCTTCGTCATTCCTTCAAATTCCAGGCATGTCCCTCTCCAAGGAATAACCTCTCCCAGCAACATACCCAAAGTGTGTGAGGTGAAGCTTTATCATCTTCGCCACCAAAGAGCACTCTGGCTGTATCTTCTCAGTTACTTATCTGCTTGTTGTTTTGGCAGTCCGTGGGCTATTCAGAACTCTTCTCCAACACCATAGTTCACATGCATCAATTCTTCTCTCATTCTTATTCATTGTCCAGCTCTCAGCAGCACAGAAGAGAGAAAGGGAACTAGAGGGAGTGAGAGAGGGAGGGAGGGAGGAAAAGAGAAAGAAACAGACAGACAGACACCAGGGCCTGAATTAGGAGCACCTTAGTCCTCAAACAGACATCATTTCTCCCCAGTAATTTGGAAAGATCCCTGACTACTGACTTTCCCAGTGCAATACATCTCCTAGCCTCCTGACTGATGGTACCAAGTGTCTTGATTGTGGATCCAAGTAAGATGAAGCTGTTGGCAGTTTCAAACTTTCTTCCATCTACGACAATGTTACCTATCGGTACAGATTCATCTCCAGCTGGCTAAAAGGGATGGGAGCTTTCCCTCTGTTTACCCTTATTTAAAGCATTTGCCTGTCTCCCCTCTGACTCTCTGCTCCATCTCCATCCCGTTCCCTCTCCATTGATCTCTAACACTCCCCTGAGATTGGTGATGTTCGCCCCATTTTACAGATGAGAGAACTGAGACTCAAAAACCTGAAACACTAACCCAACCCCACTTAGCTGAGAGGCAGAGCTGAGATCTTAGTCAGGGTCTGCCTGACTGGATACACTGGCTGACCACCCCAGCACAAAAGTTCTCTCTTCCTAGGGAGGTGGCTACCACATTGAGGTGCAGCTGTGGTCACATTGGCAGAGGAAGAGGTCTGCCCTTGAGGGACCCAGAGGCCCTTGAGTGCTTTTCTCTGTACTTCCTGGATCTGAGCTGGAAAAAGGACGCATGGGGCTGTCACACACATGATTCCTGACTCACACACACACACAAAAGAATGAACCCAGCCCACAAATTCACACAGCCCAAACACTCAGCCTCCAGGGACGGAAAATTGTCCTTTGCCTTTCCACCCGCCCTTTAGAAGTATATGAATAATGCACCGCCCTTACAAAGAATAGACAAGGGAAGGTTTTCAAAGCAAAAGTACAAACACATGCTGGTGGAAAGCCTGCTCTGGGCTGGGCCCTGGCTCATGCTGGAGAACAAGGTGAGTTAGACAAGGCCCCTGGGCAATCACCTCAGGGCCCCGTAGGGAGATGACATTGTTGTTGTGTGCTGTCGAGTAGCCTGCAACTCATAGTGACCCTATGCACAACAGCTCTGAAGCCTGTCCTATCCTGAGACAGTCTCACTGACTCCGACACACTTACTATTGACACACATTACTCCAGTCACTGTATCAATCCATCTCATCCAAGATCTTCCTCTCCTGCGTGCGCTATCCCTCCACCCTTCCGAGCATGATGTCCTTCTCCAATGACTGGTCCCTCCTGGCCATGTGCCCAAAGTATGTGAGATGGAGCTTCAAAATCCTAGCCGCCAAGGAGAAACTTGGTTTCACACTCTCCAAGCCAGATCTATTTGTTCTCTTGGTGGTCCATGGTATGTTCAAGACTCTTCTCCAGCACCACAATGCAAAGGCATCAATTCTTCTTCTGTCATCCTTAGTCATTGTCCAGCTCTCTGATGCATAGCAAGTAATTGCAAAGACCATGGCCTGGATTAGGCACACCTTAGTCTCTAGACTGATATTGTTGCTTCTCAGTACTCTGGAAAGGTCTCTGACAGCAGATTTACCTAATGCAATTCATCTTTTGATCTCCTGACTGCTGGTGCCAAGAGTGTTGGTTGTGGAGCCAAGCAAGCTGTAACTGTTAACAACCTCAATCTCTTCTCCATCTGTCATGGTGCTGTCAATTGGCCCAGTGGTGAGAATATTTGTCTTCTTGATGTTGAGCTTCAATCCATATTGAAGACTACTATTCTTGACTTTCCTCAGAAAGTGCTTCAGGTCCTCTTCAGTTTCAGCAAACAAGGTTGTATCATCTGCATAATGCAAGTTGTTAATGAGTCTCCAGTCCTGATGCCACATTCCTCCTCATAGAGCCCAGCCACCCGATTGAACTGTTCCACATATAGATTGAAAAGGTATGAAGACAGGACACATCCCTACTGCACTCCTTTTGGGATTCTGAACTATGCAGTGATTCCTTGATCTGTTCTGATGACTGCCTCCTGGTACGAGTAGGGGAGATGATGGGCAACAGGTAATTTCAGGAGCTGGGATGGTGGTGAGTCCAGCCAGGTGCTCTAGGGTGCAGAGAACGGAGCTTATTCAGAGAAGTCATACAGACTTTGTGGACCCGGATTTGGTGGGAGAGGTGAGAGGGAAGCTGGACCCACATAAACAAAGGTGCAGGGATGTGTGCAGTGTACTAAGAGAATAACATAAATTACAATTGAAAAGCTCTCAGGATTCTTCCACGGGTTCTCTGTGTTGTCAAGAGTTGCTAGGCAGAGCTGTGGCCTGAGCTGGTGGCAAGATTTGATTGGTTAAAGGCAGAAGAATGTTCCTTATCTGTGTTTATTGTGTTGTTTAGAAATAGGTTCTTTCTGGCACTCATGAGGAGACTGAACATAGAACAAGACACAGCCCTTTGGACAGAACAAAGGCACACTTTGTGGGTTTAAAATCAAGAGGCGTGTGTTATCAGAGCTGTGTTCTTTCACCATACTTACTGTTTCTCTATGATGAGCAAATGATCTGAGAAGCTCAATATATGAAGAAGAAGGTGCTGTCAGGCTTGGAGGAAGGGAGACTTCTTAACAATCTACCAGATGCAGATGACAACTCTTTTACTTACTGACAGTGAAACAGTCATTAAAAGCCTCATAGATTACCCTTCAATATCAAGAGAACAGAAACTTCTTCAACTGGACCAATAAGCAAAATCATGGTAAATGGATAAAAGACTGGAGTTGTGAAAGATTTCCTTTTTCTTGGATCGATCTGCAATCCACACCCACAGCAGCTGCAGCCAAGAACAAATTGCCTTGGGCAAAACTGCTGCAGAAGCCCTCTTCACAGTCATCAAAACCAAGGATGTCACACTCAAGACTAAGGTGTATCTGACCACAGGCATGGTATTTCAAATCACCTCATATGTATGTGAAAGCTAGACAATGAACAATTAAGACAAAAGAACAATTAATGCCTTTTAATTACAGTATTGGCAAAGAATGTTGAATATATTATGGACTGCCAAAAGAACAGACAAGTCTATCTTGGTAGAAATGCCAAGATCCAGAATGTTCCTTAGAAGTGTGGGAGGTGAGACTTCATCTTGCATAGTGTGGACATTGCCAAGGGAGACCATTCCCCAGAGAAGGGCTTCATACTAGGTAGAGGGTCAGGGAAGGCAGGCACCTCTCAGCGAGGTGAACTGGCCCAG